AAATTAAAAACATATTTTTTTATTAAATTAAAAACAAATTTTTTTTATGAAATTAAAAACATATTTTTTTATTAAATTAAAAACATATTTTTTTTTTATAAAAATTAACAGTGAATAATAAAAAACAATTATGAATAAAATGTTATGCTTTATATTTGGAATGCAAAAGTGTTTTGTGTTTGTACCATTTTGCCATTGAATACTATGTGCACCGACATGCGTTCGTTATACGTCAGGTTTGGCAAAAGCTGAAACAATTTCGAACATTAGAAACAAACGCTTACATAAAATAACAAAAAAGTACATGCCTTTGGAGTCACAAAGAAATATTGTGCACGTCCGACTTGCGTTGTTTCCTTCACAAGCATTTCAAATATCTTACGCTCATTGTTAGCGTCCATGCCTTGATTGATTTCATCCACACAGCTGTTAGGATAATAAAAATCGGTAAATAATTGCATGCAGAAATTTCAAGGGTAAGGTAGTTTTACCGAAAAGGAACGTGTGTGATGTGTTGCAGCGACAGCGTGTAGGTAGCTATGGCAACTGCGCGCTCGCCGCCGGACTGCGTGTGTCGATCAAGCGCCTGTAATTGTGCATTACTACGATACTGTACCATGATTTGTATGCCGTACGTGTCGTAATCGTGCTATATAACGACATTATTAAGGACTGAGTTTAAAAACACTATGTGCATGTGTATGTACCTCATCGCGTCTGCTCAAATTCACTTCACCTACGTAATTCATAGAAGTCATAAAATCACTGAAATGCTTATTAAGCGTCATAACAATATTTTCGATTTCGGGATACCAACGCTCATGCAGTGTATTTATTTGCGCCGCCAAGCCATGACGATTCTGTTCGGCATTCTGCATTTCATTCTTAATTCTTTCGATATCGGCACATTTCTGTCTGAATTCTGCAGCGATCTAATTGTGAACAAATTTAATAAATATGTATATATATTCATATAAATGTAGTGATTTATTATGTTTGGAGTTTTTACATTCTGATCTACATCTCCCATGCACTCTAAACGTCCTTTAAATTCATTTATGGCTTCCTTTAATTCGTCCATAGTATCTGGCAACATATTGAAAAGCTCGATTGATTTACAATTTTGTTTAGCCTTTCTAGCCTCTGCAACTTTTGTTTCCAATTGCTGCTGAGTCTTCTCTAATGCACGCGTTACGGTTTCGACCATGCGCTAAGCATAAATAAAATTAAAGTATTTGTTATTGCAAACTATTATTATATGAATTAGTAAATTACCATTGCTTGATCCTTGTTATCTTTGGCTTCCTTTATGTTGTTAATTAATTCTTCATTTTCTTGCTTAAATATTCGTTCTTTTATAACTGCGATCTTTTTATCAACCAAAATCTGTTGCAAATTTTTTAAAATCTGTATTTTTTCATTTTGTAACTGCATGATTTGTTGCAAGCAACTTTTCACTTTCTCTTTGAAATTCTGCGCCAATTCGGGTAAACCTACAAAGCATAAATATATTTTGTTTCTAAAATATATTGTTATAAAGTTGAGCGTTTTCACGCACTAATAACATTGTTTTTCAGTTGTTTCACTTTATCCTTCTGTCGCCGACACGTCTCCTCTAATTTAGGTCTCTCCTCCAGCTTGCTTTTGATTGTACGGATTTTGGTCATTGTATCTTCGCGTTTAACCTTGATTTCTTCAATTTTAGCCTCCAAAGCCGTACGTTTGTTCTTCAGCACGTCACTGCCACGTATTAATTCACGCATGCTGCATTTTTTTTTTGAAGAATTGTATACATATAAGTCTTGTTTATATTGATGTATGTGCTAAATATATTTAAATAAATTTTTAAACTGCTTACCGTGCCTCATTTTGTAAAATTTCATTTGTATTTCTACTGGTCAATAAGTTTCTACCGCTAATTTGCTTTTGCATAGTGGACTTTTCACCTGAATAACGGGAAACCCTAACAGAATAACATTGATTACCTGATACACAGAATAGAATAGCAATTATTAAAAAGATATATTAAAGTTGTGCTACTTTTTCTGTAAAAATATTTTACCGCCAAAGAAAATATTTATGTTGTTTGGAATGTCATCAGTTTTATTATTAACATCAGCTGTACCAATGGGTATAGTATGTATCCGATTTAGACTGCATAAGTAATTAATAATTGCTGGTGGACCTTCAATCAGGTCAATTAAATATGCAGTAAAACCGCAAAACCTATTTGAGTAATATTAGAAAAGAAAAATTAATAAAAATTAATTAATAAAGTATGCAACTGTTTCATTACAATCGTACCTTATGCTCTCGATTGGTATGTCAGGGCGATAGTTAATTCTACTAGAAGTTGGAGCATGCCCAACATTAATGTGAAGTTTCTGTTTGACACATAATTCACTTACAAGCAATGAAACGTCGTCTTTATCCTCGCAAGTGAAAGCGAGTAGATCTCTTAGGCTGATTATGTTTTCGAAATATTTGGCATGTTCGGGATCTAGCACGCTTAACTATATAAAAAATATAACTCAAATTTAAATTAATTTAAGTTTTACAATATTTATAATATTATTGGTTTACCTCTAAAATCATGGGCTTGTAAACAGTGCCTTTAAACAACTGCTGATGATCCCTTAACCATTGCACTGCTCGATAAACATCTGGAAATTTTGCTTTTAGTAACTGCGAAAATTAAAATTTTCTTTCTTGAATTTGCTTTTTAAGGTGATAAAGTTTGTTAGATTTAAAAATACTATTTGCTCAAGAAATATACAAGCGTGCACTTTTTTACCTCTAACTTTTGCGCATGCACGTCATTTGCGCGCTCTAAGCGTCTCTTTAGAAACCCAATTTCTGGTGCATACTTCTCATCTAATTCACTGTTAATTTCCAAACGAACTTTCATATATTCTGCTAATTCTTCTTTCATTTTATGTATTTGTTGGGCTAGTGCATTCATCTCAGCTTTCCACTCGTTTTCTGAGTTATTTTCTTTTACTTTAGTTAGATCTTGCAGTAGCAAACTCAACACTTTAGTTTCTTCTTGCAAGTCTTTATCGTAATCTGCCTTTTCGCGTTTCTTTTTCTATATTAATAATAAATACTATTTCATGTTAAGCAAATGTTATAATATATAATTCAACAAACCGAATAGATTGTTCGTGCCTGCTCTATGCGATCTTTTAATTCTTTTATATGTTCCTCGACGTTCTGTTTTTTTGACGCAATCGTTTGCTCTTCTTGTTCCTATTTCGTATATATTATTATAATTATTTATGTAAAGTAATTTAATTATATACCAAGTTACCTTCTGCGCTACGCCTTTAGCAAGTTGCTGTGAAGTTTTCGCTATATCGTTTTGACGCCGCATTATGTCATCGTATACTTTTTGCTCCTCTTCAAGTTTATGTTTCGCTAATAATAAATCGTTGGTTTGTCGCTTCTTTTGTTCTCCTAAAGTGCGTGCATCCAGATGCAATTTTTTGGCTTCGCAAACATCCAATTTATTTTGGTATTCTTGTTGTTCATTGTAACGGTCCAAACGTTGCTCAAGTCTGTTAAATTGCAGCTATTGTTTGGTAATGATTTACTTTACTTAAGCTTAACTTACGTATTGCAATGTGTTTGTAACTGCTCCAATTCCTCTTTCTTTTTTCGAACGCCATCACCCTCAGACAACTGTTCTTGGCGCAATTTTTTTAATTCTTCGAAATTGTTGTTTGTTTCTTGGCTACAAACCGAATTGACGGTATTTATGAAAATTGTTTGTGGATCCATTTTGGCAAAGTCTTGCACTCTATCTTGTGGCAGAAATTGACACAAATTGCCAATTTGAATTTTATATTCCATTATTTCCGACAAATATTTTTTCTCCACCACGATATTTTCCCCAATCATGAATGTCGATTTACCATTGCGTGGAAATCTTCTTTCGAAAGTCATAAATTTTGCGGGTGTATCACGGTAGATCTCAACTTTTATAACGGCTTCATCGCGCCCATTTTTTACGTAATCACCAATAGAACTTGAACGTGATAGCAATTCAGGTTTGCCCCCTAAGCCAAGCACTATAGCCGCCACTAACGTTGATTTTCCAGTGCCATTTGGTCCAATAATTACATTCAAGTATTCTGTTGGGTAAAATGTACACTCTCCGTATGTGCTAAAAGTGAAAAAGTTTTAAATTCTTATTTTCAAACATTTAAACAGTAATAGTTACACAAAATTTTTACAGTAAACACTTTTGATTTTTCCTCTTACGGCAACATTGGGTTTAATGTCGGAGCATTGAATGGGTCGATGAAGTTCGCTCGACATGTTAAGGAATAGAAATATAACACTTAAAAATTAAACTGAGGTAATGCGCCTTGCAAAATGAAATTCAAGTATTTCTAAAACTCGATACCGATTCTACTAGACAATCGATTTTTCTCATAAAATAATCGCTTTTTCGGAGTCGACCTTTACTCCCGAAATCAATCGAGAATATTCGATTTACGGTTAGGTAAATAGCAGACATTCTCTGCAAAATGTATGCTAAATTATAAACATAGTTGGTATATTTTTAGTGTAAATCAATTTGAAAATCAACTTTGGTTAAAAATTATAGCAAGTAATTTTTTGTAAATAGTCTCTTTCTGATTAAGATTTTCAAGAATTGGCAACTCTATAACATTTGCCGGTGGAGCAATGTCAACATATATATATGAAAACAATACTTGTGTTTATAGTGGACATAATTCTTTTAAATATTTATAGTTTTATTGGAACTATATAATTAGTATGACAACTAAAGTACCACCTCTGACTTACAAAGTAATTGCTGAATGTTCTATTACGAAGGCACGAGCCGGTCTAATGACACTTCGTCATGGTGAAGTCAATACACCAGTGTTCATGCCTGTAGGCACTCAAGTAAGCTACATAATTTAGTGTTTAAATTTAATTATACTATATAATATATTTAGGGTACCCTGAAAGGTCTACTGCCGGATCAGTTAATTGAACTTAACTGTCAAATACTGCTAGGCAACACTTACCATTTAGGCATGCGCCCTGGCATTGAAACACTCCAAAAAGCTGGTGGTCTACACAAATTTATGGGTTGGCCCCGTGGTATTCTAACCGATTCGGGTGGCTTTCAGATGGTTTCTTTGTTAAAGTTGGCGCAAATTGATGAGAACGGTGTAAACTTTTGCTCTCCATTTGACAATAGTGAATGCATGTTGACACCTGAACATTCAATTCAAATTCAAAATACTATTGGCGCGGACATCATAATGCAGTTGGATGACGTTGTCAAGACTACTACTGTTGGTCCGCGTGTTGAAGAGGCTATGCATCGTACTATACGCTGGCTGGATCGTTGTATAGGTGCACATGCTCGTGATGACGATCAAAGTTTATTTCCAATTGTACAGGGTGCATTGGATCCTGAATTGCGCAAAAAGTGCGCAGACGCATTGATACAGCGCAAAGTGCGGGGTTATGCTGTGGGCGGTCTCAGTGGTGGCGAAAGTAAACATGAGTTCTGGCGTACGGTTCATGTGTGTACCGATCTGCTGCCAAAGGATAAGCCACGCTATTTAATGGGTGTTGGTTTCGCTGCTGATTTGGTGGTTTGCGTAGCGCTTGGTATAGATATGTTTGATTGTGTTTTCCCCACACGAACAGCTCGTTTTGGTTGCGCGCTGGTTAATACTGGTCAAATGAATTTAAAAAATAAAAAATACGAAAACGACATGCGCCCCATTGATGATGAATGCGAGTGTAGCACATGTAGCAGATATACACGCTCATATTTACATCACATTGCCGCTATGGAAGCAGTATCATGTAGTTTGTTAAGTATACATAATGTAGCATATCAATTGAGGCTAATGCGGAGTATGAGAGAAGCTATACAGCGCGATCAATTTCCACAGTATATCTGCGATTTTATGGCAAAACATTTCGAAGGTGAACTGGTGCCATTGTGGATTAGAGAAGCTTTAAAAGCGGTCAATGTGGAATTGCCGCCTGACGAAGATAAAGTGAAAGAAGCAGTAGCATGATATTTTCGTTCAACGTATGACTAATTATTTAATATAAATAAATGATGTATGTATGTATTTATTCGAATAAACTGCCAAAAATACATAGTAAAGGAATTATTTGTATTATTCATAGTTAAGAACACAGTAAACTAAATTGTGATTTGAAAAAACAAATGCATCCTGATTATTTCTTTGCCTTAGAAGTTGATGATTTGCCTGTCGACTTCTTACTTGCTGCACTGCTGCTGGTCGCTTTAGCCTTTGAGCCCGGCTTGGCTTTTGACGAAGTTGTGGCTGAACTCTTTTTTGCCTATAAAATTAATTCATTTGTTTATATGAAATCAAAAAATTATTGTTTGAATATTTTACCTTAATCAAGCCATCATTCTCTATTTTGTCCTCTTCCTCATCTGAAAGTGGTGCATCTCCACCATCTTCCCCTTCCATGCCATACAACCCGGTTTCCTCGGTTGCTTCAGATTTCTTCTTCTTTACACCAGCATGTACTGAATAGGAGTATGCAAGTACTTCTTTATTGTAAGTGCGCGTCAACGCGGCCTTCACACGACCATCTACTTCATCCAATAAACTCTTTTTGCCTGGCCACATTGCAAGTTCGACTAGCGAGTCAATATCTTCTCGCAGCAAATGATATTCTTTAAGTATTTCCAGTGACTGCTCTACACCTTCCATTCCCAACTCTTTAAGTGGGCGTACGATTTTCGCCAACAGAAAAGGTGCATAGTCCAGACGTATGGACTGACGTGATGCAGATGTTCGTAAACGTGTGTGATCATGAATCTCTTGAGCTAGACGACTACGTTTGTTCGATCGCGAATATTTGCCTAGCCAACCAGGAAAATTTATTTGTCCGGTGAAGTGTCCACTCATATACTCTCCTGGTAGTACGGAACTGAAGATGGCTTGAGTTGGCAGTAGCGACCAAGCGGAATTGGAACGTATGCGTTTGTCCACTAAATCACCCAAACTTAGTGCATCTGCTGTGCTGGCTACCTTGGATGGAATATCCGATCTAGAAACGAAATAACGACTCTTTAGTGTATTAAGGTTGGAACTATATTATTGTCTGGACTATTATTTAATTAGTTAATATAACGCTAAAACCAAACAATATTTTTACTTCACTTACTTGGAACCGGTGGGCGAAACTTGTAAGTAATTTTGTTGAACAAATAATGGTCCCATACTGTAATCTTGAAAGAATAAATCACATTTGTCATTCAATGTCATATGTTTGTGTTCTTCAGCAGAGAATACTTTACGCACCACCTCCCATGGACCCTGCAATGAAATGTTTAATGCAGACCTTCTATAAAACAAAAAAAAAAAAAACTTATATATAAATTGTAAAATACCATTTTCAAGTCTTTCTCAGCGGTTTTATTAGTTCCTTTATCGCTAGTTGGTAGTTTTAGATATTTGCCTGCACTTAATAGCGAAATGTGATTTATCGACTGACGTATATCATTATTGGTCGCTTCAATTATTTCATCCACCTTATCGCTGTCAATTTTAAACCCTTCTTTGCAGCAAATACTTAAAATACGTCCCTTGATCTGTTGCGTACGTGGTTTATTGAAACGCAAATCGTAGCAATAGTTAACGAGTGAACGCATTTTCTGATGGTTACGATCATTACACATGCATATAATTGGCACTGAGGATTCTTTAATGAGAGCAATTAACTCCTGTATGCCACCGCGATCTTCATTACCAGCCATTCCATCAACTTCATCCATTAAAAGTACATGCTTTTTTGTGACCGTTTTGCCTTGTCCATGAAAATATCCAAAAAGCGATTTGTTGGACAAAAGCTCTGCTACTTCTTCCTTAAGAAGTCGCTTGCTACGAGTATCTGATGCATTGAACTCGACTGTGTCGAAACCCAATTCTTTACAAACCAGCGTAGCTGTGGTGGTTTTACCAATACCCGGCGGTCCTGATAGCAATGCTGCTTTATAAAAGCTACCATCATCATTTTTAGCCCAAGGATTTGGCTTTAGTAGCTTTTTTTTGCCATCATGGTTGATGTACCATTTGGAGAGCCAATTTGTTAATCTATGTATATGTGTGTAAAAATTGTATTTCATTATATAGAGGCGAGACCTTTAGTGAAGCATACTTACTTTGAAACATTACTTGTCGGTCCGAATTGCCCAACTATTTCCTTGACACTTGTTGGCTTATATTTGTCGACCCAGGGCAGCATAGTATCATCAATTTCCTTTTTTGTTACGACATTGCCTTCGCTTACACCATTATTGACTGCTGCAGTTTCGATTTTCTCCGCTTTTACTGCAATTTTATTATCTTTAGTAGGAGATTTCTCCTCTTTAATTCCTTTTTTTGGAGAATGAATTTTAAGTTTTTCATCACTATTCTTTTTCTCTTTCTTGGAACTTTCGTGTTTTACTTTTTCGATATGTTTAATATCCTTTTTCTCTTTAACTGATTTCTTTACTTTCTTAGGACTTATGAGCTTTGTCTCTTCTTTGACAGATTGCTTTGATAGGTCTCCGGATTTTTCACGTATAAGATCTAATAAGCCATCCTCACTTATGACATTTACACCGAATTCTTCGGCTTGTGCCAATTTTTTGGGGCCCGCTTCCTCTCCAACAATTAAATAGTTTAGCCTTTTACCTACGGTTGTCATCACTTTACCGCCCAACTCTTTAATTATTGACGCTGCCTCGTCGCGTTCAAGTGATTCTAAGATTCCGGTTACTAAAAATGTTAGTCCGGCTAAGCAATTAGGTTTGCCCTTTGAAAAAATTTAAAATATACTTGTACTTTTTAACCACCAGATTCATAAGACTAGGAAGCAGTAATACCTTTGGAACTTCTTTAGAGCCCGGATTAATAACACTAGCTCTGTTTTTATACTTCTGGTAGAGTATGGCTGACATGCGTTTGCGTTCATGGCGTTCTTCATCAGAGAGCACACCTATTTTTATACATATAGTTGGATAATCACATTAAACATTCTTATCTATATATATTATATAATACTTACTGCTTTCCAAATCCTCACGAAGTTGTTTTTTAACCTTGGGTGTACCTTTTTCCTTTTTGTTCTCCGGTTTAGGTGTTGTGATCTTCTCTTTTTTCCCTTTATCAACAACAGAATATTCTTTTTCTTGTTTGATTTTTTTTGGTGTGTCTGTATCTATTGATTTTTCCAACTTGGTTGGTGTATGCTTGTCCTTATGAGGACTCTTTCGCGGCGTTTTCGACTTTGAGCGTCGCACTCCTCGCTTTTCACCTAATTTGTCGTTTTCTGCTCGTATACTCTCATCTACGTCTACTTCCATAAGGCTCTTATCGATTTCATCATCTTCCAATTCGATTACAGCTGCTATTTTTGGTGGTGGTGGTTTCTTGGCCTCTATACGTAAGGTTTCACCACCGAAAAGTGCAGTAGGATCGACTGGTTTCAGTTTCTTTGAAGGCGAACTTTTCAGCTTGGACAATGATGGCTTCTTATTGTTCTGTGTTTGTATAGCATGAGGTGACTTATCTGTTCGCTTTTTCTTTGCCGGAGTTTTCCCTTTAGCTTGGGGACTTTCTAGTATTTCATCTTCGTCGCTTGATATAACTCGAGCAGTGCGCTTTTTGCGTACTTTATTCCGTAAATCATCATCGTCATACGACGGTTCAACTTTCTTTTGCGTAGCAGTGTTTTTTAAGAACGTTCTTATATCCTACAATCAAACAATTAAATAAATCGTTGTATTAAATATTTTAATATCACATTATTGATTAAAAGAAACTTACTCGCTGCATTTTAATCTGTGTAATGCCGTGTGTTATAAAATTTAAGTTACTCTAATAAGTAAATAGCCACAAATTTGTACAACTTAACACCGGCAATTTCCGCGCAAAATCATTTTCAAAATGACACACAGCTGTTTTAAAAATATAGTTGCCGTATTCGAAATATATAAACAAATACGGAAAGCTCTACCAGAGAACGTAAAATACACTGGCTGGCTCCAGAGAACGTATATCATATACGTTCTCTGGTGTTTATTATAATTATCTTAGCCACACACCATTGCGAAAATGCACTGCTTTATCAGCAAATGAAGTAGGGAAACAGATAAGGCAGGTTTATATTTCTGATTGCTATACCCGGAAATTTGACATTTAAAATAGCAGTAACAGAGAAATATCTGCTCTTCCGAATTGCAGATTTTTATTATTTTATATTAAAGTACATGAAACGATATTGTGAGTGCTAAAATTAAAACCTTAGCGATAATCAGCTGTGCAAGTTGTTGAAATATTCAAAATATATTCCGAAACACCCGGGTTTGCTTTAGCGGATCAATATTTCAAGAATGTGAACGCAATTTCTATTCTTGATCATTATCTTGCCGCAGTCAGTGGCACACTCTTGCTCTCTGAGAACGAAGCAGGTGAGCAATGTAGTCACATATATCAAATTCTATGCCAACACCGAAGCCGTGTTTTTATAATTGGTAATAGGAGCAATCCGCCGTGAAAACTAAGTCTAACTGAACTATTCTGTCATTACCATGGTACCGCGCCTCAGAAAAAGCTGCCGACTCACTGGAAGCTTTAATTCGGAGAAAATTCATCAGATAAGTTATAAAAAAAGACACTCAATGAAATTACAAATTCAGGTATTTCAAAAGCATCCTCAATTTAAATATCCAAAATATTTACGATTCACTATTATCAGTATACGCAATAACTTAGTTTATATTGAATTGGTTTTCTGACGAGAATTACAAATAACACTTAATGAAAATAACCCACTAAGCTTTTACTAGGAATATTAACAGTAATTTTCTGTAATACCACCATTCCTATGGTCCATCAAAAGTTTCGTGCTTCTATGTGCCCACGAACTTCGTAATCGGAATTAACCATAATTTTACTCTGAGAAAAACTGTCAACTGGACAGCATTCCTCAAAATAATTTGGAAAATATATTTATATAGAGATAGGTATATATTATAAATTCATATAATAATTTCATATTGGGTGATTTTATCATATACTTGTACTTTCGAGCTCTGTCATCTCGGAGTTATCCTAAATAAAAAACTAAGCTGGAGACAACACAGTGAGTGCAGTGCTTCTGAAGCCCTTCGAATCTGGATCTCCTGCAGAAGAGCCATTTACCCAAAAGTGGGGTTTACGACCCACATGGTCTTTTCGCTCTACACACCACCTATACTAACATATATTACGATATTATCGAAAAAGTGCCGAATTAAACCCCTGGAACAGGGGTAACGGACCTGTTTGCTAGAGATTACGAGCGCAATTAACACTACATCAACTAAGATTTTGGAGGTTATCCTCGACATCCCGCTAATATATATACAAGTGAAGTATGAGGCAATGCTTACGGTCAGCCGTCTCATGATTTTAGGCCACGGGCATGGTATCATACTCGACCTTGTTAACCAATTCGGGGAATTAAACACAACGTTTTCATTCTTCAATAGAGAATAATGGACCAATGGTTCTGTGATCGACAGTTCCAACGGCGAAATCTACGTATTAACCGACGGATCGAACAGCGAAATATAAACAGTAGATAGATCTAAACTAAATAACTACAACTCAGTCTTGCAGGACCGAATTGTGGACATAACAGAAGCTGCCAATTTGACTTTTGTTCTTACCAGCAATTCCATAAACTTTGTAGGGATAGCCTAGCTGCAGTAAGGCTATCTGTAGCGCCAATACTAAGAAGCCTCACTGTGTTAGGTTATGCAAGCAGGCAATAACTAGACACTCTCAGTAGGTAACTCGGTTAATATCAACTGGGTGCTCAGTCTTATCGAAGGGAAATGAGAAGGCAGACGAGTTGGTTCGCTGGCGGACAGCTGAAAACATAATTCCCCGAAGCCGCCCCAAAGCACTCAGCTCCTTCAAGGGTTGTTTGAAACAATGGACATAGAAACACCGCAGATCTTAAAACACTAGCAACACAAGGCTCTTAGTTAGTAATTTTGATGGTGAACAGACCAAAAAGCTTCTATGGTACTTCTAGGCAAAACGGAACTTAATAATATTGTAGGAGTCATCATAGGACACCAACCCTTAAGATCCACCTACAGAAAGGAAAAGGATTCAGCGGAATACAGAGCATGCGCGGAGGGTGATAAAACGCTGAAACATAATCTATGCGAATGCCTAGCCTTCGGACGGATGAGACGGTATATATTCCACGGCTCCCACTGCTCCAACTTAAGGGCCATTGGGTAGATGGGGTGCAAAAAATCAGGTTTTTCACCAAATCTATTGAGTTGCTGGATAAAGCTTAATTTTGTTACCACCCAGGAGCAAAACGGTGTATTTTTCAACTATCTGTATTAAGTATTTTTTAAGAAATTTTCGGTTTAAACTTATCTTCTTAGAAGTTCGATGTTTTCCGGCAGAGTTTTTGCCTATATATTTATTGAAGATCATTAGTCCGTAGCAATTTGATTTTCCAAAAATAATTCTTGATTCTTTAAATTGAACATTTTTACAATTTTTTACGAAGAGTTCGACTTAATCAATCAATCAATCGCTCAAACAACAAGCACATGCATACATACATACGTATTGGTTTTCGAAGCACTGTCGATCTATCGAACATCGCCAGATAAACAGTTGGCAGGCTGAGAAATGAACTCGGCTAACGCATTAATACTTAGAGACAAACATTGTACATATGCACATACTTGCACATGTGAGCAATTTGAAGCGCAAAATTCAGAAAATTAAAAATTTATGAAGAATTTTAAAGTTTCGAAATTAATGAAGAACGTAACAAATTCGGTGTGATTGCTGTTTTGTGCGCCTTTCAACATAATGTCGAATTTTACGCATTGTGGGGGGTTACAGCTATTCGTCACAGTATATAGGCGGGCGAGGAGGCGGTATGTATTGATAGGTGCCTTTTGATAGCCTAATGATATGTAGCATGGATTAGCTCCGCTGTCATGTATGCTAGACGCACTAGACGTGGTGGCACCAGTTGGTGGATTTCAAATTAATGTTTTTGAAATCGAGCTGCGATATGCTTTCAAAGTACACCTAATTTTTTCATTCGTAAATACTTGTACATATGGATGTGTGTAATTATATATTTGTAATGCATATTATTAGTTTTCATAATCGATTACGTTCTTTGATATGTTGTTGTTGTAATTGAAAGATGTTGTGGTGTTCCGACAGATATTTTGTTGGTATATGATTTGTATGTACACACATATATATTAAGTATTTTTCTAATAAGCTCACTGTACGGTACATTATCGACACCACAACAGAAACATTTAAAAGGAAGTTTCAATATTCCTCCGGCTCCACAAGCTGCTGGCGTCTTATAAACGCAAAAAACTGCAATGGCTCTGGTCAGTAGCTTACAGCTTCTAAAAACTTTGATCTCATTGAATGGCGAATTTCAAAATAATATTTTCCCACATAACAAATTATTATAAGAGTTTGGCGAGCTTTCAAAAACCAATAACATGTTGCACTTTCCAAAACCGATTTTTAGGATATTTAGCATAATATTTTAATTCCGCTACCTTGCAGATGGAATATATTTTTTGTTATACCTTTAACGGGGTATATTAAGTTTGCCACGAAGTTGGTAATACCCAGAAAGAAAGATCTGCGATTCTATAAAGTATATATATGTATAACCAGCGTGATGAGCTGAGTCTCTGTCTGCCTGTATATAACGAACCATTATCTCATTTTTTGAGTTATCAATCTAAAATTTTGCATACCTCCTTTTCTCTCCAAGAAGCTTTTCATTTGTCGAAAGCTTCAATAACGGACGACCATACGATATAGCTACCATACAAACTGATAGATTAAAATCAAGTTCTTGTATGAAAAGCTCTTTTATTTGTCTTCATGGAATTTGGCATAGATTATTATCCAAGGCATTGCTACAATTTCTGAATATATTGTTCAGATCGGAGCACTATAGCATATAGTATATAGCATACGATAGCTGACCGATTAGAGTACAGATAAAAATCTTTTTATACTCTTTATGTTATAAGGCATGCACCTGTGATGGGTATTATAGCTTCAATGCAGGCGAAGTTAACATTTTTTTACATCATGGCTATGATTTGTTTATTTTCAAATTGGATTTTTAAGTTTGCCCTTTTATTTAACTGGATATTACTAAATTCAATTTGTTAACACTTTTAAAGCATTTTAAGACTTTAATTAAATTTTGACAAAGTCAATCCATCACAACTAACTAATTTGACACTTAATGGAAAGCGGTTGCTATCCATATACAAACTTATAGAAACTGTTTCCGTCGGTACCATGAGTAAGTATTACACATATGTATGTATATCGATTGTAATCATGATTAGATTAACCGCATACACATACAAACATAGACGCATAAACAGAAACAAATATAAACAGACTTTATATATATTTACTTGAGAGTCGCTAGATTAGTAAAGGGTGAATATGTTCAACACATATGTTAAGGGAAGCCACAACGAAGGGGTTGACGTGAATTTAATGCAAACACTTGTTTTCATACACATATACATAGTTGTGTCTGAATGTTTGAGCTAAGCGAAGGCTGCAAATTCACTTGTCATTCTATCAACGTTTATTGGCATAATTGACCAGGCCACGCGGATTAAAGTGAATTTATGAGATTTGTCAATCCAGTGTACCGAAGCAGTAGGATAACCTAACTAATAAGTAAATGAATTAAAGAGACATTTTCATTAATTTTATTTTGTTAAAATTCTAGTGAAAATGTGATTTTAATTATGTTCCTGCTGTTAACTTTGCGAACTGCTGGAGTATTACTATAACAGACCTCTAGTGCTTGATTATATATCCTTTAGCGGTGATTTCGTTCTAAGATGAAAATATATTGTTTTGAAGCGAAGTCTTCGTCATGCTGTT